ACTGGTTTTTCTATGTAAATCTAAGTATTTAACTTTATGATATATATTTGCTATTTAATTGGGGTATCATAATTGTTGTAACGAATTACACTAACAATTCATCTACCCTGACTACCTAAAAATACCAGTACACAAAATGGACAATTGTTAGCAACAATGTAAACACGTGTATTTAGAAATATATTCTTAACCTCATCAGCTACTGCATTTAGGTTATTGCGGAGGGGGGGAGTCATCATAGCTAGTTATATTGCAATTATTTAGATAGAATAACAAAGAATGGGTAATTTAGGTAATTATGATAAAGAAGAGAATACTATAAAGGATTTATTTCCTCCTGTTCCAAATAATTTTAAGCCTGCACTTGGCTACAAATTATGAACAAAGAAAGAAATTAAGAAAGAAATTAAGATGATAGAATCACTAGTGCTGAGAGATCCTTTCTCCTTTCAGTTAGTGCTAGGACCAGCAATACTATCCCATCTATCTGACCTTCGTGCACTGTTTAGAAACATTCAAAGGATGAGTATCTATTGATATTTTGATAATATTTTTATATAATTCTTAAAAAATATAATATATTTTTACATAAATTTTGCAAATCTTTTCTTCTTCTCTTTTAGGAAATAAGGAAGGAAAAGGGGCAGTGTTTGGGCCCTGAAATCTGGAGGAATTCATCTGAGTTTATTTTTATCACTTTTCTAAGCAAGGATGAAAAATCTGAAGGTTTAGAAAAGACTATAGAATCTCCTAATATGACTGGTATTCTGCAGTTGCTGTGAAGGTTTTGAATTTGCATATAAAATGTTTTGCATTTTGCCTTTGCCTTACTAAAATTTCTGCCTTTTGGAAGGTACCCATGGAACCATTACTGCCCAAGTTCTTACTCCAAAAGACAGTTACTTCTCCAAATAAACTTTGCAAGAAAAGACTCCCCTTTACCTCCCCCAGTCCTTTATGAAGAGTCAATGAGACAGAATAACAAAGACCTGTCACTGGCATTAGACATTATTTGTACATTGGAGGAACTGCTTGGAAGCAACCGAAGAAGCTAATCGAGTTACGTTCTCATGTGCCGTGATGGAGCAAAAAATTTAAAATACCCTACTGGTTTTCCAAAATGTCTTATCTTGCAATAGAACTGAGTTATAGCCCTCTTCATGCCAAGTCAGTTATATCCTGCAGCTAGTTAGAACAGACTCACGTTGCAAATCTATATATAGGGAGAAGAGTGAAACATATCTGAAGTGAATCATTAGAAATTCTTTCATGCAGTGTGATATCAGAGCCAGTGCATTAGTAAAACACAGATTAATTGAAAAAGAATAAATCTGATTCCACTGTATCAAATATGAAGTTTTAGATAATTCTTCTATGCACTTGCTAAATAACTTCACTTACAATTCATAAAAATATTCTGAATATTAAAACTGCAAATTGCTTTGCAGGAGTTGAACAGTAGTGGACATATGCCAGAACTGACAGAACAGTAAATGTAAAGTATTTCAGCTGAGACATTTCTCCGAGTCTGCTATGGTATTGCTATATCTGAATATAATTTTAAGTAACAAATTCTCTGAATACCAAATGCCAAAACAACCCCAACAATCCAACATGGAAATCCTGATTTAGGAATTGGGTAGTGCTTTACTGGACAATGGTAAGCACTCCTTTCTCTAAAGAAATCAAATTTGGGGTAAACAAGCTGTAAACAATGATTGCTGCTTCCCATATTTTCTTTTAAAAATTTACCTTTTCTAAATACCATACTTTAAAATTTGACGAATTTTCATGAATTACTACCTTTCTGTAAAATTTTCTCATCTGCTTATAACCTTAACTTCTAAGCTTTTAAAAACTGAACATCCCGTCCATAGTTTTAACAGAGACCATCAAACAATTATGTATTTTAATCCTAACTACTAGAGCCCCAAAGAATTTACAACAGTTCCTTCTATACAGCAGATAACAAACAGGCTGTATCACAAACCTGTATGAATTTATCACTGTAAGCTCACTGACTGAAAAAAAAAATACTTCTTTTGTGTCAACTATATATTGACAACTAAGACAATAACAATATTTTATTTGAAATGGTAATGTGTTGATTTTCATGTAACAAGCAATAGCATTTCCTGAGCTAAGTACTTACTGAGTATATAAATTTTTTTCTTATTTGAAGGTATTTTCTACACAGAGGTGTTAGACTTTAGGTAAAAAAAGTTGTTTTCTGGCATATCTCAGGGAGAATTCTCAGACATTATTGAAAAAGTTCATTCTGTCCAGATCGAAAAAGTATCTACATGAACTTGGTCTCCTTGCTTTCAAACTTATTTTTTCCTTCCTTTCTCCCCTCCAAAAAATATCTACATTTTAAGTATTCTCTAACTCATCATCACTGCTAACTAGAAAAAAGTATAGTATAAACAGAAACCAGACGTTGGCAATTTCCCAGACTATTTCAAAGCACTCAATTCTAACTCTACTTGCCAAGTCTTGGTTCTCCTCTGAACACAATGTCAGGTAAGTTGAATTGTGGAAAGTATCTCCTCTTCATGTTGATCAGAGATCTGCAGAATTAATTTAACCGCCTCACCTCAGAAGGGTTAAAAGCAAAACTACATTCGGCTGCACAAAAAATTGACTTCTATGCTTTGTGCACTGAAAAGAATTGAGTATGTATCTCTCAACTCCAAGATAAACAGGGGCAGTAACTATTGTTTATGATGGGAGAGAAGATGGTGGAAAATCACGTAGTTACTTAAGACACTGATTTAGTATCCCTTGGAACTTAATTTCCGTATTAAGTTCAGGCATTAAGACCAAACACAACAGCTATTTACCGGGCAACTAAGACTTGCTAACAGAAAGACCGGGTTAGAACAACTTAGGACTCCTTTCTGCATCTTGCTGAGCAGTGGTTCTCATCCAGCAAAGCATTTAAGCAGATGCTCAACTTAGTACTCAGTAACTTGCAGGACTGAGCATAAATGTAATACTGCAGTCTCCAGTGGGATTGAAGGAGGGTATCTGGTAAGACTTTGTTGTATGTGTATGTTTGTTTTACACACAACAGAGTAGAATTATAGAGCATAAAGAATGGGGAATGAAATATTCATCATTAATTTCCTGGTTCTTGGTCTCTAAGGAATCTGAAATTGGGGCGTTGGAACCAGGATGATACAAGTTCCTGTCATGCAGTGAGATGTAGGGATTGCAAATCGTAGTTTTCCGGCAAACTTAGAATATGCAGGAGTAAAGTTTTAAATCTGGTTATACATTTCTTTTAAATTATAATAAAATTATTTAAAAATAGGCTTAAAGATTTCCTGTGTCATTGTTTTAAATAAGATACTACACTAGTAAGTCTTAGTGCTTGTTTAGTACTTGGTATTGCTATGTCAGAAACTTTAGTCTCACATGCATAATGCAACAACTACTGACCTGCATAGAAAAAAATTTCTATCACTAACACAATGAAAAGTAGAATTACTTTTGTCAGCATTACTGGTGCTGTACAAGAGGGAAAGGTTTCTATACAAATGAAGACTAATGTATCAGATTACCAGAAAAATACAGCTGATGCCTAGACTAATATTGACCCATTCCATTTAATACTGGAATTAGACTGTTAGAAGAGATACTGAAATATCTGCATGCTAAGAAGTGGGGTCAAGAATCTGTACTAAGAGACAGTCAAAATTGACTACAGTAATTTTTATTATTTTTTTATTATTATTTTTAGTAAATACAGGTAGGCTCATTAGATGATCACTATCTAAGGGCATAGACAAATACCCACAGACATAACTTTCCAGTCAGCCTCTTCCAAAAAAGATGCTCAAAGCAGCAAAAGTTATTCCTAAAGCACCGTTAGTTGAAATTGAGCCAGATTCCTGATCCCAGCACTATTTCTCAGAACTACATGAAGACTACACGAATACTTATGAGAGTGCCACATCAGAAGGAAAGAGGATGTAATCCATTTATCATGGTGCTGTCCTTCAGATCTATGCTGACAAATATGTAAAGGGCTTTACAACAACACTTCATGTAAAGGCAACTCAGAATTCTGTTTTGAAACTAGCCTTACTTAATGGTTCCTTTGAATTGCAGTTTTAATCAATGGCAAATACCTCATAATTCCTACTTCTTCCTCTCCCATTCTGTGTGAATAAATTCTGTGTGAATAAAATAAATAAGTCACAGCATCTTTGTGGCATCTCTTATAAGCTACTATAGAGTTTATGGAGTAGGATCTCTCAGGGGGTAATCACATGCACATACAACATCTGTGCAGTTCATAAAAGGTAAAGGGAATCTTATATAGTCAGGAGAGAAATCTATCAAATAAAACAAGCTACGTGTTCTTGACGTACCATTGACTAAGCTGGCATTTGCATTATCAGTGGCATTTGCACCTGTTGCACCATCTGTAGCTGAAGGAGGGTGGGAGGAGGGATGGGAAGAATCTACTGAGCAATAATGGATAAAAAAAACAATAAATAATAATAATAACAATATGAACATGACAAAACAAAAAACATTTATGGAATACTATGGCATTGTTTTCTCCAAAATCAATCTGTTTAAAATTAATTTACATAACTTTCCAAAGCAAAATGTCATTACAAAGGTGTTACAAAGTAAGGCAAAAACTCATACATGGAATAATAATAATAAGAAGAATAAAATAAATACGAAAGACATTTAACAAAGTTAACAGTTGGTGAGAACTGACTGCACACAGTACTATGTACATTGCTTTGGTCCTTTTTTCTTTCTTTTTTTACCTTTAACATAATGTTATGCAAATATTAAAATGGTTGAAATATTTCCCTTGAGTTAATGAATATACAAAATGTGTGGGTAGTTTTAAGACATGCAGCTTACTACATAGCATATACAACATTACATATTTTGTATTTTATGTAATGTTGCATATTATGACGTATTATTGCTGATACATCCCAGCCTAACATGGGCTTAATCTACGTCCTGCCATAACCTAGTTAATATGCACATTGATCTGAGTGGAAACATTAGACTTTTCAATATTGTATGTGGAAATGGCAAATATAGTCTTGAGGAGAATAATGAGTCATTTTAAATCCAAATAATAGACATTACGTAATTGCCTGTTTTCTGGTGAAATGAAAACAGTATCAGAAAAGAAAATCCTCTCTGTTTTCAGCAATTATCGGCATATTAGAGAAATTGGTCACAAAATCTTTCCTAATAGGAAGGCGAAAAACTCGAAGAAGGTTTAATTATTTTATTATGTTTTTTTATACTGTAGCTCAGAAAATTAGTCTCTAGAAATAATAGGTAAAATAAGTTTTGTTTTGTTTCTGTTGGTTAATTGTTCAGAATAGAACACAGAAGTCCTATAATGAATCCTGATCGAGGCTCTTGAACTGCTTCAGTACTTGACCCGTAGTGACTGTTTCACACTGTACTGGTTTGTTATTCAAGAAAAATGATCTTGTTTTATTTACAAATGGTAAATTGGGAGAAGAAAATAAACAGCATACAGGATTTAAAAACACACCCTGTGCAACTACATTCATGAAAATTTCAATTGCAAATTTGATTACTGTGATGGTAATAACTTAAACTGTTTTAGTTACTCATGCTTATTTTTTATTCCATTTGGATATTCATACTAACCAGCACAGCATGAACTGCTAACAGCAAATCATGCATTCCAACATTTAATATACTGTAATTTACTTCTGGAGAATAACTGATTATTCAAGCGTAACATTAAGATTTGCAACACCAACAATGCGTGCACACTTAAATGTTTGCCACGAACAATCCCGTTGATTTGAAATAATTCTTTAATTTAACTGGACTGATTCAAAGACAATTATTTTAATCATTAGTTCAACCCTGATTTGCACCAAAGCTTGCTGGCTAAAAGCCTCATCCTTTCATTTGATGTGGTACAATTCTTACTCTACCTGGAAGCTGATGTCCATCCTCCTGTTTCACACCTGTATGATGATTTTTACAAAATGTTAATGAACGATAAAAGCACACACCCACATAAGACTGAAACAAACATTTATGATTGGCAGGATTTCAGAGAATTGCAGGTTTATATACAAGAGTACAGTATTTGAGATTGGGCCTCAGTTTGCTACCAGCTCTGCAAGGCACTCCACTGCGCTCGCACAAAGCTGCTAGCGACATTAGAAAATTTCAAGGAATTTTCATGGTATTGTAGCTATACTCAGTTAGATTCAGCATCTGCACAAGTTCTTACACACTTCTGTAAGAACCTCTGGGTAGCAAGTTACGACCACAGTGCAGTGCATCACTCTGCCATCTGTGCTTTCTCTTTCCCTGTCTTTCAAGGCTCTGCATGTTGAAACATGAGAGAATCACCAGTGTCCTGAGCAAAATAACATACAGAGAAGGCCACCCCAGTTACACAAAGGACCTCAGGGCAGACAGCTCTCACTTGCAAACAGGTCCTGAAGTTGCTCTTTCTCACCCACGATACCCTTAGACACTGCCAAAACAGATGCTGCCAGATCTCGAAAAGTCTGTTTCTAGGAGTCTTTCTCTTAATGATAGCAAGGTGTTGTTCAAAACTTGTCTGACACAAAGAGTTTTACTTTGGGAAGTTTTGGTCTTTCTCCTTTTAATGTTCCTAGAACTTACCATGCCTAGCAGGCATTGTGCATTTCTGCGTAGAACTGAAATGGTAAACATTTCATAAAGTCTTTCATCAAGTAAAAAGGGATTTCCTCAGAGAAACACGGAGTCAAGCGCAACCACTTGTTGAACATGTTCAGAAATGGAAATTGTAGGTCATGAAAACCATTTGAACTTGGCCTTCCTATCTGCGGCTTCAAATTAAAAGGATGGAAATGAAAAAAAGGTGGAATCACACTGCCTGACAGATACTAAGTAAAATGGTCAGTAAAGCTATGCTACTCCTTTTTATTAACAGTAAAAACCACTAAAAAGAGTGGAAATATCTAAAAACCCTGCATCAATTGGCCCTTAATTAAGTCTAAAAGATAAATATTCTTAGAACAAACTTGGAACAAAATTCTGAAAGTAGACTTGAACAATTTACAAGACTGTATGAACAAAAACTGGAAAGGACACACATTAAATCATGTTTCTGCTTAGTGTGCAACCCAGAAGTTAGCAATTGCTTATGACGTCACAGTATAATAAAGCGAAAAATCTAGAGACTTCTTGATTTCATTAACTGATACAGGACATCAAAATTAAACTCTCTGCTAACATTTACTGCTACTTTCTTGTCTTTTACTATTCTTAGTTTGACCTTTACACCTTAAGAAATTAAAATGCCTCTAAAGCCAGTCACTGACATTTAACAACTAGGCTAGCAAAAAGCTGCATCTTATCTTTGTTTTACTTTTGAAGCTCAAAGAAAAACGCTATTTCCATGGCCAAGTTGTTGTTTTCTGAAAAAAAAATATTACATAGAGGTAAATGCACAAGAGCAAAACCTTAGCGAATTTTAGGTGAGTATGGATTTATGTAAAGATGGGAGTATGCCCATGTATTCCCTTGCATTTAATTATGTACTGAGAGCCTGCAGTTTCACACTGGAAAAACATCTTGTTATCCAATGTATTTATTGGTTAACGGCTTTTGCTGTTTTTCTGTGTGATATGTAATGATAAAAATGTATACAAAAAAGGAAGTTTTTTAAATCATATTTATTTGTCAAGAATGGAGGAACGCTCTGGCTACACAAAGCCCAAGAGCTTTCTTCGGAGCATCCTTATGTGTTGTGAAATTTACCTTTCTTATCTTTCTTTTCTTCTTCTTCTCCTCCAGCCCCTAGCAGAGTAAAGATGATGCCCGTCTGAGAATTCACACCCACAGCAGTTACAAGCATCCGTCCAGAGCCTTCCATGACGTGAGTACCTGAAAATATGCAATATAAGTTACATATAGCTAAAAAAATAAAAAGAACAACCATTAAATATTTGATGCAAGACTTCTACTGTAGCACTAAGAGAGATCTGTTACACTTTAAAAATCTATATTGAGGCCAATATAATTACATACAAAAAATAATCCCTATTGTTTTATATTATTCTCAACCAAGAACAGATGCTTAACTGCAAATCTTAGGCTGCGTGCCCATTAACCGCAAACACCAGATTCCCTTTTAAAAAGAAATGTTGTCACTAACCAAGTTTACATTATCTTGGAAGATAGCTTCACACAGTTAATTACTGTAACTTTGAAAATATTTTTTCAGGGTTCTGCAAACATTCCTCTGGGCCTCTAGTCAAGATGACACTGACTGTACATGGAATATTATTACATAAACAAAGTGAAAATATGAGTGCAATTTCTCTCATCTTCCTCAGTTATGGTTGATTTACAGGCATAGAAAAAAATATTTTTTAAGACAATTTTGCATCTTCAAACTTGAAAAATCAATACAGAGAACAATCTTCAAGGAGATGTTTCATTAAATCAGGAGGTTCCCAAATAGCAAGAAGAATCTGGCATACACTTGAAAACAAATTCAGTATGAGAGATTTCTATTACTCTAAAACAAATCAAAATGTACATTAAGTTTTACTGAGAAGGATCATTTGTTTATCAGGGTAATTTTATCATTATATGGAGTAAATTCCTTTTGAGAAATATTTTGTGCTTTATTCTATAGAAATTGTTTATTTACAACTCTTATTCCTATATTGAACCAAATGTCAGGTGCATCAAAGATCACAGCCTCTTAGAAACCTTTTGCTATGAGTTGTGGAAACACAAACAAATAGAATTTCCTAGAAACAATCAAAAGTATTCTGATTTACATTTTGGGAAAATTTTATGAGAGAGGATTTGCAAAAGATCAGTCTATGCATTTACACACTGGCTATTTCTAAAAAAAAGTTTGAAGTTGAAGAACAACCTATTGTTATGACATGTATATAAGGCCAGCTATTAAAAGCTTATTTAAGAAACCCTGTTATTGAAGCATAGGAACAAATATGCCAAGGATGGCATCAAATGTCTAATTTGTCATTTCATATGGTGACAAAGTCTTAAACTAAAAAGTTCATTACTGAAGTAATATTTAAAGTGTTTGAAGAGAGATGTCTTCAGTAGGTAGTAAATTTTAAAAGATATATAGCAGATCATACATGCTCCTATGAAACAGATGAAAAACAAACACATAATGACCAGAAACTACTGGTAGATAAAGCTTTTCATTGAAATAGACTTTATATTTTATCCTTCAGTAGTAGAAAATTATGTTATGCCCATTAAGTGTAAGTCACTGTGAGAACACAGAGGAAAAGCAATCATTTCTTAACACAGAGTTGACAGAGCAAGCTGGGATTGAAAATTTACTTGGCTTTGGGGTTTTTTAAATACTCTTTCCTGTATTTGAAGAAGCAATTAGTTTGGAAACTATGAAAACAGAGTGTAACACACAAACTGTTAGCCTTGAGAAAAAAATCATTGTATACAAAAAAGTCAAACACAGATTTATACCTCCAAGTGACCTATGGATGGACACATGGTTAGCTAGAACCTCCTCAGAAAGTATTCTATTATTTAACAACTGTTTTTAATCCTAGGTGCTATAGTTTTAAATAAACTATATTTTAAGACCTGTATTATTCCAGACTTGCATCAGAAGAATGAGTCCAGATGGAATCAGAACATAGTCCAGTAATCACATTTTCCTTTGGGGAAGCGGGGGAGGCATGGAGAGGGAAAGAATTTTTACACTTCTTCTGAAGCTATTCGTTGCTTTAAGAGTCAACTAAAGAATCAACTAAACAGTTTGACCATTGTGGTAATAAAAATTATACTGCTTATAATACTCACTTTACTCTTTGCCTTGTCACTGCAGTATTTGTGACAAACTACTATTTGTTGTTGGATGTTAATCTATGGTTCCTTAGATCCTCACCTAACTTCAAAATTAACATTGTACTGCTTTACAATTATTAAGTTTTCCATAAATGTAACGTTCTCCATATACCTTACTTAAGACAACATCATGGTTTCATTCACTCTGTAATAGCATGAATAAGGTAGAGTCATTAACTGACTTGTCCTAAACAATTCTGCAGCTAATGAAGTAAAAATGCTCGTATGCTTATTCTCAACTGTCTTGCCCCTATCACTTACCCACTACCATCATGAACTACCACCCAACATTTACCATCATTAACTACCGCTCAATATTTTAAAACTAAAGTGAAGTCGTTCACTGATGCCTGTAGTTCTGCAAGGCACCACAGCAGGGCACACCTGAAGCCATAGTAAAATAGAAATCTTCAAACAAGCTTTCTGCAAACTCCAGCAAAATGGCTTTTAACCAACTGAATTGTGAGCCTGTTGCATGGAGCAAATGGGGAATATAATTAATTTACCATGGAGAATCTTACTGGGCATTCAGATCTACTAAACCTGGATGGCCATGGAAAGATTCTTTCTCCCTCCCTTGTTAAAAAACATTTATTGGGTTCATCCTCATCTACATATATTCATTTCATTGAGTTATCTCAAAAGCTGAAAAGAGGAAAGATATATGGACATGTGTCCTTAAACAGATCAATATTTTTTATATATATATATATACACACACCTTTGCAACACATTTTTAAAAAAAAATCCCATTTTCTAATTACTGCTCACCCAGTTGCTGTCCTAGAACATACTAAGCAATGCAACTATCTATTTATAATCAAAAGATCTTTCTCGAAATAACCAAAATCTCTCATGTTCTTAAAAGGAAAACAGAAACACAGAACAGAGAGAACATCTGTCAACACTAAACCTAATTTCAGAGCATAACTATCTCATCAGAACACTAAGAAAATTTCAGCAGAAATAAGCCAAATAAAAACAAAAATGCACTAATGGTCAGATGTATTTAAAAAAAAAAAAGGCATCAAACTTTCTCAGTACATTGAGAACTGTTCCTATGGCATTCTGAGATAAAATTTGATTCCTTAAAAAGTCATTTGCTTGCTTTCATATGATAGAGAAAAATGTCACAAACATAAAAAATTAGGACTGCTACCCAAACAACAAAAACCAAGTTACATTCAAGGCTAAAGGAACAGAAAAGACCTTTAAAAAATAAAATACGCTTGGTTGTACTGGTTCAGACAAAACAGAAAATGTCTGAAACTTAACTCAGCTATTTAGAGGAACCTCCTTTAAGATGTAACACCATTTAAAATATATTTTAATTAAGAACTTGCTTTTAGTATTCCTATGTTTTGTTTTGAAGGATTTCAAGCTTACCTCTACACACCTGGAAGGGGCAAAAATGTCTTAACTTGAAGCGCCTTTCTGAGCCTTTTCTTAACATTAGTCTCGTAAAATGTAACTCAAAATGTTAAGGTGCATACAAAAGCACGTTTTAGAGCAGGTACTAATTTATCATCAGATTATGTTCCACTAGTAATATTGGAAAAATTCTTCAGCATCTAACCTAAACCAAAGAGCTGAACCTCCTTCCACCTAACTCTGACAATTTCACCATTTAAACGGTATTATAATTACATTAGCTTGAATAAAGAAATGGGCGCTATGACTTCAATCAACTATTGTTATATAAATGAAATTCTGGAATGAATGCATGTTTTTCACTTATCTGTGCACTAACCATGTATTTCAACTTCATGTTGAACAGTTCTCCTGACTACTTTCCCTCTCAAGAGTAATTTTTCAGTATTAGTAAAACACATTTTTTCACATGCTGAGTATTTAATTTGAAGTTGATAAATGGTAAATATTCCAAGATAGAAAAGGAAGAAGTCTAGTTTAGTAAGAAAAGAGATGAACAGATTAGACAGATAAGGAACCTATTACAGCACATACTTTTCAGACAAAAATGCAACTAAACATGAGACTATTCAGAAACTCCCAAATCTAGTAAGAGTACTGGTGAAATAGATTGGAAATAGGGCTGAAAAACAAGAAAAGAAAACCAGAGCATGCCAGTTTGGGGAGTTTATACTGTTTTGCTGCTTTCAGCAAACTTGTGGTAAACAAAAATTCTCTATCAGCATCTCTAAACAACTGTTTCAGTCACTGTGATTATTAAGAGGTAACTGAAGTTAATAATAAAGTGAACCAACCATCAGAATATCCTGTATGGGGGGGGGGGGGTAGGAAAAAAAGAGTTTTCCAGAAAAAACTCATTTACAAGTAATTTAAGTAATTTCAACATATCCAAATAATTTGGAACTTTTGAAGTCAGCTGCTTGGTTTTGAAAATTTCTGCTGTGCTAGAAGCCTAGCTTAGAATATTTTCTGGCAGGGAATTAAGACGGAATCAGAACTATTTTTCTCCAGGCAGTAACTGACCCGATTCCTTAATCGGGCTTCCTTTCTATTTCCAAAACCTAACAAAGCACCATGACCAAGAGATTTCTTTTGTTTATTTGTTCTTGAATAAGCTCTGTTTACTTTGTTTCAAATCCTTGTTGCGCATTGATAGAAATATGCATTTGTAAAAGTTAGGTTAGGATAAAGTAATGTTCTGTGAGTCTCAGTTCAGTGAGAACTACACTAGGTGAGCTCCTCTATGTCACTCTTTCATACCTTCATCAAATTAATCTAAATACCTGGGAAAAAAGTTTTAAACAGTAAGCCTCATAAGGTATTTTTTACAATGTTAACTATTATAATACGTGGTACCCCAAAATACTTCACTGTGTGCAATACTGAGGTCAGACTCATATTCAAAACTTCTCTATATAGGAATCATGGATTTCTGCGAACTTTGAACTACACAAAACTTCAAGGGCACATCAGGTTCAAAGAAGACAGTTGAGTAGCAGTCAGTTGGGTTATCCAAGCTGTCTTCATCTGTTGGCTGATACATGCACATGCGCATTGCAAAGAAATTTAACGTCACCACAGTCTCATTTAAGCTGATGACTTTTGATGCAATGGCTTATGCTATATCATGCATGCAAACCTCTGTTAAAGAACTAAAAGAAGGAAAATGTTTTAAACAGAAGTACAGTGGAACTATAGGAGAGAAGGTCCTTCTTTTGGTTTCAGGTATATCAGAGTCTGTACTTCCATGTCTGCCTTCCTAGGTGGTACCAAATGTGCTATATACAGATGGAAATGAACCATCTGGTTTAGTCAGCACTTGTACCCTTAGAATTGCTTCTCAAGTACAGTAAATGACTATCTGGATGATTAAACAGGACATTAAGCACAGAAACTCATTTAGTTTAATTATGTCATTGAAACTGATTGAATATTAAAAATGTTGTTTCAGGTGCCAATGGTGAAAATAATACCTCCCGATTCAGGGTGTTTCTCTTTCACCAAATTTAGACTCACAAAACAAACTGTAGCTGCAATTCAAATGTTACCTTTTTTCAGTTATTCCTCTGTCAAACCCAAACTGTTTTCATTTCCAACAGATGCTTAAGGGAGAACAGTGGCAAGCAACATCCTGACTGTATTTGTCTAAATTCCAAAAGCCTACATGGAGATAACTTACTGATGTCTTCAGGTGAAAAGATAAGAGGAAAATTTAAGGTCTGTTTGATGTTTTTTGCAGGGGGTTGGTTTGTTGGGGTTTTTTTTAAACAAGTTTTATAAAAATGTAGGTCTAGGCTAAAATCCAACAGGAACTCAGTTATTAAACCAGGTCAAATCCACCCTGAAAGACATGGTGGTTTCCAAGCTTTGGGGGTTTGGACTACTGACAATTTCCAGTGGGCACATCAGCTCCCACACCATTAGGATTAAACCTTGCACTGTATGTATGGAAGAAGATAGTTTTTTGCATGATAGAATCTCAAATCATCAACTCTGCTCCTGAGCAAATAGAGTTCAGCGATTTTCTAACACAGCATAAGTAAAAATTTTTAAGTATGGAACAAAGGTGTATACAGTGCTTGTTAAAAATATCACATTAATTCTTCAACTTCTTTGTAATCATAATAGAGATTACATAGTAATAGAGAAAAATAAAGAGTATAAACCTTATTTAACTCTGCAGTAAAACCATAAAGACAAATTTGTCTCCTTATAGCAACGAAATTTGAGGTTTGGGAAAGCAAAACTAACTTGATTGCTTTCCCTTTCTCTTCCCACCATGCCCTTCAGGGCAATACTTTCATGTTTTTTCACAGCCACCACTGAAATCTATGGGTATTCAAAAAGATCTAATTCAATTTAGGAATATGTAAGAGTACACAAGTCAATGGAAACTTCATAATCAGAAAACCTCTAGAATTCAACAACAGGATATTTTAGTTGATAGAAGTCTATGATACTTCATGATAGAAGTTTCTATAAGAAAATATTATCAAAACTATCTCTGTAAAATGAAAATTTTATGCTAGTTATGAAGTTATATTTACAAAACAGTACAACTATCAGCTAAGAAAAAAGAAATGAAAAAAAAAAAGGACAAATATTTCAAGGACAACACTGGATTAAAAATTTTGTTAGGAATAGCAACAGTGAGCTATCCTTCCTCAAAATATCACTGCAGGCCTCCCTGTTTACACACTGGAAAGCATCTCCAAGAGAATTCTTAAACTACAATCAAGTTAAGCCTAAATATCTGCACTACTAGGATAAATCATGTTATTGTAAATCTAGCAAAAATAACAGTCATTAGTTTCATACATCACTCATGAAAGTCAGAACAGTTCCTTAAATTATGGTACATCAAGGAGTCAGAGGGACACCAAGAATTCAAAAGTGTCCCCACTATTCAGCATTTCTATGTGTGAGCTGCCTGCAAATGCTGAGCTCGTCATTGTATTTTCTCTGCACAAATGCAGCCTTCAGAGTTTGCAGCTACTCCACTAATATTTATTAGTCTCTAATGAATTTGCACAAACACATTTTTCAGATGCTCATAACTTGGAAAAACTTGGGGGTTTACAACATGAACAACAAAAGGTATACATTTGGCAGAGACACTGCAGCAAAACATTTAACAAATAAAACCCAGCATATTTTTAAAGAAACCAAAGGAAATTTTTTCCTAAAAAAAAGACATTTGTTTTGCTGTTTTATTCTCAGAAACGATAGGAATTTTTTGTGTCGTGATTTTTTGACAAAAATAATTCTCAATACACAGTTTCAGGCGGAAAGATGCTAGAAACTTGCTAAATTTAAAATTAATTAACATGGTCTTTTGTAACATCAAGTCCGTGGCAATGGCAAGTCTACAAATAACATTAGCAATTTCTTCATCTTAAGTTAATGTAGCCACCTTTTGACTGAAATCTGACGGGTTTTTACCAGACTGCAATTCTATAATTTACATAATAAACATTCACAATCTCATAATCAGTGAACTAATTATCTGATTTTAAGTTTGGAAAGGGTTTGCACTGTTAATTCATTAAAAATTTTCACATCCTTACTTGTTGCTACTTGTCTCTTCTGAGCAAAAGCATCTCCCAACAGTTGTTGCTTGGGAAACACCAGCTCAGTGAGGCAGGATGGGGGCAGGATTTCTGCAGGAATGCGTACCTACCTGCTGCATTGCAACAAAAGTATTCTATTTGGGATGACTCTTGGCTGACTGTAGAACCAGACAGCAAAGAGAATCCTTTCCATGAATAAAAAGTTCAAATGTATTTGAAAATGACTGTTTCAGGTTATAACACATTGATGATGAGTATGAGATCAGCAGGCTGTTATTTTGTGATCACGTCCCAGCTGGAATCTATTGACAACCAACCTATTTAGAAACTATCTTAATTAGAATTTTAAAAATCATATTCTATTTAACTGATTTACTGTATGGAGTTACATTATAAAACATAAATATTAAATATAACTTGAATTTACCACAGAAGTCAAGCCCACAATATTTTAGTATATCCATTTCCTTCTAAGCACATTGTTTCTTTGTCTATTGTATCTAGTATACACACAAAGAAAGTGTTTAAAGAGACTTTAAAAGGCTTTGAATTTAATGGTTAAATTAAAACTAGTATACAATGAATTGAAACAATTGTTATTTCCCTAAGTGATACTTTCCTTTTCCTCTGAAAATGTTTCATTACTTTCTCACTTTATAAAATAAGTATGACGATCAGAAACAATTGCTTTCAGTCAAAAAACAATAGCACGTCCTTTGAATGACAAATAGACAAGGCCAGTGTCTGTGTTCAAATGATCAGTTGTATCTAGGTTACCAAAACCTGATGGTGTGGAAAAAGAAAAGAAAACAAAACATGAACAAAGCAGTGCATAAAAGATAACTCAGCAAGAATTCAGGCACATTTACCTGACAGTAGCATTGGGTCTTTGTCAACAGATTTGCGGACTTGGTCTGACTCTCCAGTTAAAGAGCTTTCATCAATTTTAAGATCATTTCCTTGAATAAATATCCCATCGGCAGGTAGAAGATCACCTTTCAGCAAGAACATGGTAATGGAAAACCACAGTGGTTTAGTAAGATTGTTTTTATAATTACATACTGATTTTTATTACAAAATCACAATTAACAACAATTGAAATGAAAGCAAAAGTGAAAGAACTACTACCATATCTGTCCATATTAGCCATATTATTGCAAACCTATAAGGAAGGGCCTTCGTATTGCAAATATTCTTTTGCCTAATGCTATCCCAGAACCAGAATGCATCACATTTAACACATGATGAACATCATAATCACTGAGATTTGGCAGGAGGAGTACTCTTAACATGACATGAATGTTTCTCTATCAGACTTCACAGGAATTAACAGTGGCTAATAAACACTCAAGCTGCCCTTTCCCCTTCCCCTCTCAGGAAGCCCTTAGCTAAGTCCAGGAGAAACTTGATGCTTGACAGAACAGGCATTTTGCTGGAATTTGCCAGCTTGGTCAAACACAGAGTACACAGAGTTCCTGCAAAAGTCCTCCCATTCACTGGAGCATAGGGCTTTCCCTATGGCATATAGTTACAAAGCAACCACCTACTAGAAGCATCTGATCTGGGGGGACTTACAGGATCCATAGCTCTGGAGCAGCCCACCAAGTCAGGTAAGCACAGAGGCACAATTCCCTTTCACAGAGCATTTAAAAATACTTCCTCTTATTCCTAACTGGACAGAAACCAAAAATTCCAAATAGTGTGATCCTCCATGAAAGAGAATTACCTTTGTATGAACAGTTCTTGTCCTTGCCAGTGAAAGGAAGTGAAGATTACAAAATAAAATTAATTACCTAGTGCAATTTTACAGCAAGTATCTTTAAGTTCTCCTTTTGCTCTAACAGCCAAATTGTTACCTTACCATGGACAATAATGACATCACATAATTCTCTGTCTTTTAGATCACTTCCAGTGAAGTGAGTCTACTCTCCTAGAAAAGAAAAGGAGAATAAGTAAAGCTCAGAAAAGTAGACATGTAGTTGACAGAACTTACCATACTTCACCTGTGCAATATCACCAACTACTATCTCTGCCACCGGGATTTGGATAACCTGTCCACCTCGGACAACAGTAAACTTCTGTTCCTGCTCAATACGACTTTGAAGCCCACGGAACTGCTTCTCCTTGCTCCAGTCATTGAAGGCAGTGACAAGTACAACACAGATAACAGAGAGCAGGATGGCAGCACCTTCAATCCAGCCAGCTTCAGCCTCACCTTCATCTTCAGCTCCTCCTGTTGCAGTACCGCATCCTGCAAAGACAATGTAAGATTCGTTCAGTCAAGTGAAGATCGGGTTTTTCATGTTTATCACAAGAAGAAAAACTTGCTGTGAAATGACAACAAGGTTAAGGAATATAGCTGCTTTTTGAAGTACTGTCTGCTAAATGAAACTGGCAGAACAGAGAAAAAGTAGAAATAAAGATGTCTGCGGAAAAAAGAAAGAAAACAAATCAATAGAAATTGTAGATCTTTTAATTTTTCAACTGAACAAGCTATCCTTGGTAAACCCAAACTAAACAAACAGAAAAAGGCAGCACTAATTCTGTTATCTAAGAGAAGGGTTGATAGCTTCACCTGAGTCATCGAGCATTTCCAGAAATAAGGAGGACTTACTAAAAGTGACAAGAAGGACTAAAACAATGAGTAACATCAATCAATGCAAAGCAGTGGCATTAAATTAAAATTAAAGAGAACCAATTAAATTAAAACAGATTTAAGAAATAGTTTTCAACACAACTTCTAAATATTCTCAACCAAATGCAATTATAAGCAGCACTTGCTTATAAAAAAATACTGAGATGAACTAAGTATATTAGTATTTAGATGTGATAATGAAATGTATTAGGGAACCCTGAGTAAAAATAATAGCCTAATATTAATTCATCATTCTTCTTTACAGAGTAGTATAGTGGCATGCTTATAGAACTATATTATTTTTGTCACAAGTAAAACAGTATTAAAAAAATACATTCTATGTATTAATTCTAAAGTGGTAATTCTGAATTGCTTTATACAAATCTGCTAATTATTTTTTTTCAAAGTAATATGCAATTAAAATTTAAGTAGATTTCCCAGCTAGTGTTCACAAAATAAAACTAATATAGATCTCCTTCATGATGAAATAAGGCCTAAAAAAAGATAGTTTATAATAGTGGACAGCAAAGTACACATACTAGAATCACACAATTCGGAGATATCCCAACTGACAGGAGAGAAAAAAAAAAACCTCACTCTGAACAACAGAGCCTCCTCTCCTGAGTGACTGAGGGGAGGCAGAAAAGAAATCTTTTAATTTTTCATGAAGAATAGAACTAGGTAGGCATTTCACATCACTTTTCCATCTCACCCAGGTACCAGGGAGTTTAGCAATTTAGCAAGTGTCTTGCTTCCATCTATGACTAAAGTTTAATTTTGGTATATTTGTCACCTGTCACTAGAGGGAATTAACAAGCAATTTGATTTCTATTTTTAGGTTACAAAGATTTCCCTGTAACACAAGCATCTAAATTCATTAACCAGCGAAGTAATTACTCTTGTATATGAACAATAACAAAATCACCAAAAGTCAAAGGAAAGAAGATGAGACTGAATGTCCACTAAGTGAACAGAAGAAAATTAAAATAAACAGAGTTCTTACCAATGTTCTCTGTAGTTTAAATTTAGATTTAACCTAATTGAAAGGCAAAGCACACTCCCCAGAGAAGGGGCTTTCCTAGCAGGGATGCCCTTAGATTGATGATCTGTGTGAACCTTTACCTGCAGTACAAGAACCTTGCTAAAGAAACCAAGAAAGAAATCAAGTAACCTTTTGTAAGTTCAGTACCTTAAGCTACTTAAAACCAGTCGCAAATGCAACTTACAAACCACATCGTCAGTTTCTTCCTTCAGCAGAACATTACTTTGGGGAAGGACTAATGAACTTTGCTCTGTTTAACCTTAATTGTCTTAATTGGTCTATGTTAGATTTTAGATTACTTTTCCAAATTAATAGATTCACTTTTGCTTTGTTTGGATTAAGTGGTTGCCTAGTACAAGTAATTCTGTTTTGGCAAATATAAGACAAAAATTCACTATTTATTTTTCATTAGATATGATTTAGAATTAAGTATCATGAATATCCTATTCTTTTTAACAGCCTACCTCCTCTCCTATTTCTCACAAAAGAAACATGGTCTGGCCTATCCACAGTCAAAGACTGATTTTATTTCCTTTTTAGATGGTTGAAATTTAGCCAAGCTGATACAAAACTACAGAGAGGTGGTGTTTCCTACGGTGATGCCTTCGTCCAGGTTAACTGACAACAGTAACGTGCAGATTGCCCCTCAGAGGAGGGCAGCTCAGCTCTTCGGTGGTTTTAGGCATTTCCACTGGGGTGATATTTATTTACTTTATTCTGTAGCATGCCTTCTTATGCTTTCGCTGAAAATCTTTGATTTCTGCATATGGATTACTGATAATTTACATCATGATATTTTCTAAAAAATCAAGAGCTAACATTATGTAATACTTAAATACGAGGTTTTAATTTGAGCTGTATCAGTATACCCAAAAAATCACCCATTTGAAGGACACAAGCTGTGCTTTGTCCTCCATTATAGGGATCCCATTGTGGCTCTGGACATGTGTAAACTTTATGGTAATATTAGATGAGTAGAATATCCTCTTCTCTACAGCAGAAGGCTACCTGTTTTAAGAAACCCACTGCTATTATTCCAAAGAACCAATAGGCCTCGTCACTGCCTCTGAGATGTGTCGGAGAAACAAGACAAGAGCTCGTCAGTGCACTTGAATGCGGTGCTAACACACTGTACCTTGAATGGCTTGGAGAGTAACATTTCTGTGTTCTTTCAGGAAAAAAACAAACCCCTTCACTCAGAAAAACAGGTTAAAAAATAAAAATATTCAGTAACTTGAGTAATGAAATTAACTTTGTGTGTATATGTTCTCAGAACTGATTTCCATGCTAATATAAACAATAACATTCCTAGTATGTTCATATAACCAGAAAAAATAATCTAACATAGCATGTAAATAATACACGATGTTATCATTAAGATGAAAGGAATTGTGTTACCTGTCTCATAGATTATGCACAAGCAAAGAACATAATTCACTCTTCATTTTACAGCTGAAAAAAATGTTTGTAAGAGTGAAAGAAAATCTGGAGAAAACAGACTGAACTTAGATCAAGCTCTTGCAAAGTGTCCCTAAATTTGACAAGCTTCTGCACTGAATAACAATTCATGATTTTAACTTTTAAAATCCTGAGAAAATTCTCCATAACCCAATGGCAACAACAAAAGTTAAAATGCTTTTACTTTATTTTCTGTTCACTCAATCAGACAATGCTAAATTCAGATGGAGGAAAGGTATTTGGAGGGGAGGAAGGAATTCGTGGGGTGACAGCCAGGAGTAGAGAAATTAATTGACAGACATGGTGAAAACCAGAAGTTAGTCTTTTAGATGGATGGAAGAAATGATGAGTTGCTTTATGGATTTTAGAATCCTTATTAGTGAAGATTCAATCTGGCTTCTGTAAAACTACAAGTGTTGCTTCTTATGGTAATCCATTGGTCCAGGTTATCTGACAGACTAAGAGGTCAATCTGCCCAGAGAGGCGGACAGGTGGCATGAAGCAGACAGCTCCCACTGTTCCTATTCAATATGATTCAAAATTAAAAGAGTCAACTAGGATATGGGTGGCACAAATTCTTTTCTTTTTTTTTCCCCTCTCTCTCAAAGGATCAGAACTCAGGACCACAATCTGAAAGACCACAAAAAGGTTGGTACTACACAAACGGGAATCTTCCTGCCCTGCAGATCCCCAGCCTGCAGGCAGGCCAGCCACGTCCTCTCCTGAGCACCATGAACACGTGTGTTCCTGTCTCCTCTAGCTGATTCCCTCATTTAATCCCACATGTCAGATGAATGGTGGTCCTAAGCTATCAGAAAAAAACTGTGCTTCATTATCAGTATGTTTCAGGTTAGGAGGAAGCAGAATTTCTGCTATGTGAGGAGTTTGAACATAAAGGACTAGATATCTCCAAGTTCAAGCAGCAGCTGAGCAAGTCTTTTGAATATCTAAGATTTGCAGGTAGAAACTTATAACAACACTTCAGAAATGAAATTGCACTCTCTGTGGATCTAGCCTAATATAACTAAACCCAGGCTCTTTACATGATTAACCAAGCTGATCATCAGAATTTCCCAGAATTTTGTCTTTGCTTTTTACAGTTCCACAGAAATGAAATAGGATAAAAGTGCTAGATAAATTAATGCAAAATGTGCACGTCATTCCATTATAGTAATAAACTCTGGCAACTTTGAGGGAGTACATAACTATCTGGTTCTTCCAACAGTAAGATTTCAGAATAGATTTTTTTGTTTAAACAGAGGTTTACAGAGAAGCAGGATTTAAAAATGCAACCTGCCCTTCAAGACATGACCTATCTGTCAGGAGACATTTTCTTGAACTATGTTGTGTTCTTGTTTCAAAAATATTTTGGAAGTAGTCACTTTTAATAGGGAAGAAAAAAAAAACAAAAGGAAACTTGCATCTCCATTGGTATAAGTTTATAGAATTCTTTCTTATATACTTGAGGAAAAACAATTTTTTTTCTTTTTCTTCTGCCTTTACATCACACAGGATTTTCTAGAAATTCTAGAAATCCTTATGTTAATTTACAGGAAGAAACTGTATATATTCATTGGAGAAAAAAATCTCATACTTCTTAACAATACACTTAATACTATCTGTCGTCCTTATTGTAGTACATGGAGTGACACAGTACTGACCTTACACATAAGGGGAAAATAAGGAATATTAATAAGACACACAAATGATGTAATAATAACATGCCTAAGTAGCAAAATATAGTTTAAAGCATCTAATGTTTATTAAGAATGCTCATATAAGCTTTAAAAGATTGTGTTAAGGTCCAAGATTGCTGCTATGCTTTCACAAGATAGTACTTTGTTCTCAATGTTACCAAAAAATATGCCTGATATTTTACTGAAAGGCACAGACTGAAAGCATCACAAAAGAATTTTTAATATCCATATGTGATTTGTGGTAAGGTTTTATTCCAAGACAGTGAATTGTGAAGTACTTATTTAAAATTATATTTAACATAGGTCCTATCTGTCAGAAAATTCAATTTTTAAAAAGTCAACAAGTTTTCAATATGAAGCTATTTTCTACCATATACTATGAACATATGCCATGTGTATGTCATTCCCCAAAGTCTCAT